AATCAAGAATAACATTTTTTCCAAAATCGCTTCGTTAACCAGATATCCGCCATTTTGCATTTTTTACATAAACATTTTTATCTTCTAATTTTTTCAACCGATCTTTATGAAACTTGGTATGCAGGTTAAGGTAGAAGAGACCCGTGTTCAAAAAATATTTCATCTTGATTCAACCTAAAATTTCAAAATGGCGGCCATTTAAAACTTTTAAACTTAAATTACTAAAGAATGGCTGATTTTATGAAAAATTCAAGAGCACTTTTATTTAGCATTTTTAATTACCTATCAAACGATACCAAGTTCAAAAAGATTGAATAATAAATAGCCGTAATAACTGTCGTTGACTACGGTAATAAACTGAAAGTAATTTATTGAATTTTCGTGTAAAATGCTATACGGAACTGATGATGGTAATTAAGCCTGTACTGTACTGACTTTTTCAGTGCACTGCAGACCCCTACTTTTCAGTGTTTTTACTGATCTCAGTGTACTTAAAAACATATATATAATTATCTACGACAACCCTATACAATGAATATAAAAATACTCAAAACATTAAGATTCAAGATGGCAGCGAAAACTCGAATTGCCAAAAGGTGACAGAATGTCATCATGCATTTACTTGAAGCTTTACATGTCCTAATAACTATCCATTGAAAAAAAACAATCAACAAATTTTTGGTTTTGTTTTGGGCTTGGTAACCGATAACATGATAACATGTCGAGTTATTTTAAAAATTCACTAAAATTTACTTTCCCCCTGATTACATTTTATTGCAAACCTTGATAACAAGTCTACCTCGATAACAAGTCTACCTTGATAACAAGTCTACCTCGATAACAAGTCATATTTAATAATCCCAATGAGAGTCTTGTTATGGAGGCTCTACTTTTTTTAGGGAGAGGTGGGAAAATGCGTTTACGCAAACAGGTGGCTAGCCTATAGTGTGGGACTCCAACAGATTTAAGAACCAAAGACCACCCACTTAAAACCTCCTCTACTCTTCAGACACTAGCCTGGGAACACTTGTCGCACTTCATCAGAAGTAGGCTGAGATTGCCTATGCCCGAAGATCTTACTCTGTGTTAAGCTGTTAATTTCCTACACAATTTAGACTGCGATCCGATCTAGATCGTTATATTTAACTTTAAAGATATTCCGGACAAATTGCGACCAGCAGTCCCACCCTACATCAAGGTCTCACAAATCGATTCAACTGACAGAACCCCAAGATGTTGAGCATATCCCATCTTGTATAGTGGAAAAAGGTATGTCGGCATAGTCTAGAATGCTTGGGCAGTAAATACAGTCAGGTGAATTGGTTTTGGCCATCAAGTGCAGGAAAATAGCGGTGGCCTGACAAGAACTGCGTGAGATTGTATTGTATGTATTGTGAGAGGGGTGGACTCGTGGTCCAAGCACGTCAACCGAAGCTTATTCTGCATCCCACTTGCCACTAACTGGGTAAGCCTATGCCTGTGTCCTTGATTAGGTACAGGAGCTTTTGCCCAATGATAGCGTCCGGTTCATCACCTGGCTGCTTTAGACCAGAGCCCTTCTCCTGACCCCAAGTCCGTCGCAATCTAGAATAATGTGTTTTGCAGTCTCATCAACGGGTTACAAAGTCGACACTCCTGATTGTCATTGACAATTCCTAGATTGTGGAGATGTTTCCTGAAATGGCCGTGTCCAGTGATAAGAGTAAGTACCTGCTTGACCTGCCAACTTTAGCTTTAGCAGCCAGCGAGTGAAGAGGGTGCTAGGTTCTGAGTGCAGTTTTTTGCTAAGTGATTGTCCAGGATAATTACGCCAATGCTCTAGGTGTTGTCCCCTGCACAATTTGTTGATTTCATGTTTAGCGGTAGCTTTGCTGATTCTAAAAAAGTCTCTGGTCCAAAGAATGGCATGCTCGCACCTTTTTTTGCCAGCATATCTACACTCTCGTTGCCGCCAATGCCTTTATTAGCCTGGAACCCAGCCGAGAGTTACAGAGTTCCTTGTGGAAAGTTTGCAGAGGGTGTTGAAACACTCCCAGACCAGTTTTGAGGTGACTTCATTTGAGTCAAGAGCTTTAAGAGCAGCCTGACAATCAGACAAAATAACTATCCTCCTGTCTTGGTAGCATCTGGCTAGTCCAAAGTTGGCACAAGCCAAGATACCATAGATTTCTGCCTGGAAGATGGTACAGTATCATCCCAGAGTTGCTGAAAGATCTGTTCTTGGTGATCAACTGAATACTCCAAAGCCAGATTTTCCATTGATTAAGGAGCTGCCCGTTTACCAGATGAAGCTCTCCGTATCTTGGAGATGCCCTTCCTGATGTTTCCACTCTACCCTGGAGCGGAATTCAACATTGAAGGGTATGGTGAACACTGCTTCTGTGCTTAGGAAGTCCGAGGTCATGTCAAGCACAGGACACGCAGCCAAAGTCTTGGCAATGGCCTGCCCCTGACAGGCCGCCTCTCCACAGATTTGCAACCCTCAAAGAGTAAGCTGCCTTGAGGGCTTCAGATTTGATAAAGATGTCCAGAGGTAGCAGCCCAAGAGCAACTTCTAGTGTAGCTCCTAAAGGCTCCAGTGGCTTGTAGCGTACCATATGGCTATGACAGTTACCTGATATACCTTTGTCCATCAGACTAGCGAACCATAGGCCCTGGTAGCAAGACGTCTGGCTCTCAATGCTGCCCGTCGCAATTCTACGATCTCGTTTGTCCACCAGTACACAGTTCGCTTATCGCACCGGGATCTCCTTCAAGGCACTGATTCATCGCAGGCCGAGACTATCAGCCTCATCAATGATGTAACTGATGTCTCTGCGTGAGCCACGCCAGATACAGCAGGTACCACCGGCTCTCCCAGTAGTAGGTATGACTTCGGTGAATTTGGCCACGTCCAGCTTTTTGGTGTTCCACCGAACGGGCACCTGCCGAGACACGGTAGCTTGTCTCTGATGACTATCCAGGACATCAAAAATGATGTACTGCTGGTCACTGGCTGTATAACCCTCCAGGACTCTCCAGGCTCGTATCCTCGGCAAGAGGGACTCAGATGCAAGAGTGATGTCTGGGATCGTTCCCCTCATTCCGGGACGCTGGAAAGTTGGCGTGTTGCCCTCGTTTATGACAAGTCCAGCCCTGGCAGCAAAGTCCAGGGAAACGAAAGTAGCCAGTTAATATTTTAAGTTATTACTTTTAGTGGATTTGGATTACTAAATGTTTATCTACTTACAGCAGATCTATGGAATAATAATCATTCTCTTAAGCGTTCTCTTCCCGTTGCAAAGCACGGGTATGGTGGTTTACCAACAGGGTGCTGCACTATTATTTTTTATTTTTTATTTATGACAACAGCTAATTTTTACCAAGCAGAAACAAAAATCTGTGATACATGGAATGGATGGATTTTTTACAGTAATGTTTCGTAGCCAGTTAATACTAATAGTAAATTAGTAAAAGTCTATCTACATACAGCAGATCTAGGAAACATAATAATTGTTCTATTTAGCTTTCTCAAGCTCCTTGCCATTATTTTCAAGGAACAAAATTGTCTCTTCTGCATCTTTACCCGGTTGCAAGGCACGGGCTTAGCGGCTAGTATTTCATATTAATAAATACACACACTGTAAAACATCTAACATATTTATTGAATGACGACATTTTTTATTAATTTCTATTGAACAATGAAGTATGTAAACTGTAACAACAAACACACCTGTCTTAAGAATCCTTGGAGCCTAGACTTTCTAATAAAACAATAAAAAACTACAAGAAAATGTATAATCCCACAGTGATATTTAAATTACAATCACTGTTACAATCTGATATTTAAGTTGCAATCATAGTTATTGTAAGAGTTACAGTGGGTTCATTCATACATTGAGACTGGTTCATTGTAACCTCAAAACAGCAGTGGAGAGGAGTCCGACCGGTTGGGTTCGATAGAGAGGTCCTTCACCATTCGCACTTTCGTTTAGTCGCCTACGGTTATTCATTGAGACAGGAGGTCGATATTTGGGTCAAGTGTTTATTCATTGTGTCTTCACCCCAACAAGGAGTGTACCGTCGAGCAATGTTGTGAAGTTTTGCTTTAAATTCTGCATCCGAGACCGTTGCCCTCATCTCGAATATTTTGTTTCGGGTCATACTGGAACACCCAGGTCATTTAACGTTGTCCAGAAAATTTAAATCTTCCTGAACTCAGTCCAAGATATCTTGTAAAATCTCCACCCTTGACAGTTTTTTTTGTTCCTAGCTCAGAACTTTTGGCACCAGCTTCACGCAGACTCTTCTCATTGCCAAATTCTCCGTAACTATAGTGTGGACGGTTCCCTTTGAAAGGCCGGTCTTCTTACTGGTGTGGGATATGGTTAGACACCTGTCAGACGTGTACTTTCACTTTGACGATGTGAGCTTCAGTTCGAGTGATTGTCCGGCGTCCAACGCGATGTTCGCCTTCGACGAGTTCCCAGCCTTCCGTCTTTTGGTGCCACTTTGCACCACTTTGCCACATTTGGCACCCCTCAAAACACTTGTGTGGCTTAAAGCATCATTCGCATAAGCTTGTTTAATGAAGGCAATTGTCTCAGACGCGGATTTCTGAGTTTAAAGCAAAAATTCGCAGAGTTGGTCAACGGTACACTCCATGTTGGCGTTACGACACAATGAAAAAAACACTTGGCGCAAATATCGACCTCCTGTCTCAACGAATGCCCGTAGGCAACTAAACCAAAGTGCTCCTAAAGGGCCCCTCTATCGAACCCAACAGGTCGGATACCCCTCCACTGTTCTTTTGAGGCTACAGTGAACCAGTCCTGATACTGAATGGAGGGTGTATACCAGTTGTTTTCAAACAGACCCAGGGGTGTGACAAGGCACCAGTGTCAGTATCAGTATTGAGACTCGATAAATTTCTAGTTATAATGAATAACATTTTTGCACTTAAAAAGTTTTGTTATGCTTAAAGCAAAAGTTACCTAACTACGTAATATGTTTTGTTACAGTTCAGAAGCAAAAATTTGTTCTGGCCCATTCATATCAACCAGAAAAATATATTCATCCCAAACTCTTAGTCCCTTGTGGGAAGTTCATGAGGTTGTGTTCATTGAACATGATTGATCTTGTAGAGGAAGTGCTTGCAAATCACCCAGATAGAGAACAGAACATTGAAGCAATCATCAAATACCACTACATGAATGCCAAGCCTTCAAAAAGCTTGTATATTTGTACAGAGAGCAAAAATGCTCACCATTTGAAGCATGAAAAGTTCCTAGTGAAAGTTGTGCCTATTTGTGACGCCTGGGTTGATGCGGTCTATTTGTTGAGTTCTACTATTACCGTAACCAATCAATTGAGTAGTCCTATTGAGCTGTTCTCCATTGTATGCAGTGGTAAACAGAAACTCGCTCTTGATTTCAAGGAGGCACAAGAGCTCTTGTCTTCCTCAAACCCTGTCTTACAGTCTAATCACAATGATATCAGTTACAACGCCAGTTGTTCTGTAAAAGTAAATTGGACTGGAAAGGAGGAATCCCCAGTGTATGAGGTTAAGTTAGATACTGATGTTGCCTATGGTCATGACTTTCAAATTACGTTGAGTTCAAAGGATAAAAGCCTACGTTTACAACCTTGTGAAAGCTACACTATTGTGACAAACTTCTCAAAGCCACACCCTCTGTGGTACAATCTTGACAGAGACCAAATCACCCCAGGTCAGAGTAATGACCTTGAAATGTGTTGTGGTTTGGTCGACAAGGAAAGGATGTATTTTGGTAGTCATATTAAATATATTCTTTATAGAAAATGTATTGAAGACAAACAATGTTGATTATTGCAAAAGGGAGATATCTTCGACAACAGTATTTAAACAAACTTTTTGGGAGTTTTTAGTTATGAATTTATTTTTTTACAATGGTCTTGAGTTGTATAAATAAAGAAATATGAATAAAAATTGCATTTATATAATTGATTTTGTCAATGCCTTAAACCTTTAATAACCATAGACAATGATGGCTTAGCTGTTCAAGGACCACAGAATCTGGTTACTATCTTGTTGTAAACTTCAATTTAAACAGTTTAGACTTACCCTAAAATACCCCCGCCGCAGCAAACCTGCAGACTTAGCGAATTTCCATTTGCCTGATTGGATTTAAACTAAAATGTCTCCTTAAAAATATCACATTTATTCCCTATTTAAACAGAATTAGTTTAATGAGTGCTTAGGTTTGCTGCAACAGGGAGGGTAAAAAAGTTTTTTTTTTATGTAGAATATTAAAAGGTACTGTGGTTTCGTAAGAAATTAATGTATTTTCCAACTTTTATCAAAATATGTTCATAAACAAGCAAACTACAACAGTTGACTTATTCTCCATAAGAATAACATAAGAATTTTAAAATTACAATGTTTTTGAATTTTCTCCGTAACAATTAGGCGCATAATAATGCTTCAATATACTAAATTTGTTTTTTTAAGCTCTACAAAATGGTTTTAAAAGAAATTGTTAAATTTTGTGTTTTTAGGGTCAAAAATGGGAAAAACCTATTTTTACCCCATAAAACCCCCCATAAACCCCCGTTCCCATAGTCTGATCATGCTAGTTCGCGAACTCATCCAAGTTTATCCCGCCTTACACCTTCAAACCAAATTTTATCAAAATCGGACAAAAATTACTCAAGTTATCGTGCGGATATAAAAATTTGAACGAATGGTGTTTTTGGCCTCTGGGGACATCAAAATGAAAAAGTAAATCGGTCCCGGGCTTAGGTCTTACCATGAGACCTACGGTAATAGCTACTTCCCTATAGGGAAATTCGCTAAAATGGCTCAAAACTATTTTTAATCAAGAAAATTTTTATTTATTGTTTGAATATTAGTGAGCTGCTGGAATTAGGTCAAAATGAACCCACCCACTCTACCTAGCTCGGCAGGGTAAATTTTTGTAGGATAAATTTTTGTAGGGTAAATTTGAAGCTACTTCCCTCATGTTAAGACCTCAACCCGGGACTGATTTTTCTTTTATGGCCCCAGAGGCCGTTTTTGGGATTTATTTTACAATTAGGCCCCCCATCCAATTTTAAGTTTTTTTAATTGACCGAGCAAAGAGAGCGGATTAAACAGCCAGTTACAGTATAGATTTTATATAGGAAGGGGGAAATTATATTGGTTATGTATTTAAAATAACTAGTTGCTCTGCCCGTGCTTCACTACGGGGTGAGAATGCAGAAAAGAATAATTCGGTTTGGTTTTACTATAAGATACTATAGCCTAGTATAGGCCTACTATAAGAAACAGTTACAACACACTTACCAGGAAACATATAGGCAAAGGCTCAATCGTGCTTATTGATTATTTAAATGAAGGTCTATTAATGTATTACTATAATTTTATACTAGTGAAGATGTTGCTCGAAATCGAGCAATTGCAAAGAAGTAAAGTAGTTATTTAAAAACGAATAAAAGTCATAATTTCCCATGAGTTTAAAAGACTCAACTCATAGATTACGTACCTAACAGTTCCATATAATCAACATTTCTTGTAAATATTTTATCATTTTTCAAAAGCTGATCTGGTTTTTTAGTGTATTCAACAAATGTTTCCCACTTATAGCAGCATTAGGTTGTCCAGTCCATCTTGATCTTCGTCAATGATAATGAATGTAGGGCCTAGTCTGCATGGTACTACCCATTGTCGCCAGTACGTTTACAAATTTCAGTCATTTTTTTATAGCGATAACATTTTGTTTACATTAATCTTAATCTGCCTGATTTTCTGCATAACCTCTCTGTCACAATTTTATTTGTTTCAATTGCGAATGGGCATACCACTGAGCTATAATAATATAACTGGAGTAACCACTCTGTGTTTCAAAAACGTACCACTGTTTTTGCTGGTTTTGTTTCAGAGTTTCGTTTTGTTAGGTTGGCCAGGTGATCGGGTTGGTGGGACTTGTCAAATTAGAGAGGCAAAATCAAGATGGCGTCATCCTGTTTTGTTGATGATAGTAAACAAAAATCTGCCAACTCAACGTTATGATTGCAATATAAGTTTATTTGTTTATTTTACAAGCAAGAGCAACCCATTTTAACAAGATCATAAACCGATGGTCGTTATTTAATCAAATGCCGTTAGGCTATTGGCCTAAACCAATATCTCCAAACCAGGAAACTTGACTAGCCTATTTTCACCACATAGCTTTAAAAGAGGTAAATAAGTTAGTATTTATTTACTATCAAACAAAAACAATTTATAATGTTTCAAAATAACTTTAAATACAGAGGTTTTAACGTGCAATAACTTAAATAAGCTTTTGATACAAGTCCCTGATATAACGGATAACATAACCCCAAATAAATAGTATGGTTAGGTTTGAATGAATTGGAATTATTTGACAGCATCCCACCAACCGATCACACGGCCAACCTAACAACACGAAACACCAAAAACAAACCAGCCAAAACAGTGGCACGTTTTTCTCTAACGTTTAACCAGAGAGTAGTGACTCCAGTTATAATCTAAATCTCAATGGGGCATACGGGAGGGACGATGGCTAAAGGTGTGGTGACGTCATATCTCGTGGCTATCTTGAGGCAACACGATTACCGTAACTAGTAGTACGCTTATTCTGCGCGTAACAGGATGAGTGAACATGAGCGCAATAATGAAAGAGTCCACCCACACCTAGCACACTTACCGGTGTCACTGGTGTACACAATAATGTTATTTGTATGGGCAAATCAACCCATGAGTCGGGGCAAATAATGGTGAGTCGGTGACTCAAGTCGGTAGCGTCACGCGAACTTCGGGGCCAAGGCAGCGATGTCGTGAGTTCGGATCCTGGTCACTGCCACTAAATTTTATCAGTAAAGTTCACCTTTGTACTGTACCGGCTCACCAATTGCTTTGCTGTAAACGATCCACGCACGGGCGAGGTTAAAAGAGGCTGGACCAACCTCTTAAAAAAACCAAATCTCAGTCAACAACAATCCTAACTTCTCGTCCATTAAATAACCAAAGTCATTGGTAATATACGTAATGTATTTCCTGTTTCCCTCTCTTCTCATAGCATTTTATTATTGCAGATACGTTAATCTAACTGTAACAAAGGGTTCCCACACTCCGGACTCCTCGCCTCGACTACTCCCTTCACCACTTCCTAAGTCGTGGACCTGTTTCCCTCCCTTCCCATAGCATTTTTAGAATTGCAGATACTGTACATTATTCTAATTATCACAAAGGGTTTCTACACTCCGGAATGCTCGCCTCGACTATTTCCTTCACCACTTCCTACGCCGTAGACGTGTTTCCCTCCTTTCCTAGAGCATTTTAGAATTTCAAATAGATTAATTTAACTTTCACAAAGGGTTCCCACACTCCGGACTGCTCACCTTGACTACATGCTTCACCGCTTCCTACGTCGTGGACCTGTTTCCCTCCCTTCCCATAGCATTTTAGAATTGCAGTCACATTAATCTAACTATCACAAAGGGTTTTTACACTCCAGAATGCTCGCCTCGACTACTTCCATTTCCACTTCCTACGTCGTGGACCTGTTTCCCTCCCTTCCTATAGCATTTTAGTATTGCAGGTATATTAATCTGTCACAAAGGGTTTCTACACTCCGGACTGCTCGCCTTGACTACTTCCATCACCGCTTCCTTCGTCGTGGACCTGTTTCCCTCCCTTCCGATAGCATTTTAGAATTGCAGTTACACTAATCTAACTTTCACAAAGGGTTTCTACACTCCAGAATGCTCACCTCGACTACTTCCATTACCACTTCCTACGTCGTGGACCTGTTTCCCTCCCTTCCTATAGCATTTTAGTATTGCAGGTATATTAATCTAACTGTCACAAAGGGTTTCTACACTCGGGACTGCTCGCCTCGACTACTTCCATTACCACTTCCTACGTCGTGGACCTGTTTCCCTCCCTTCCCATACCATTTTCGAGTTGCAGTTACACTAATCTAACTGTCACAAAGGGTTTCTACACTCCAGAATGCTCACCTTGACTACTTTCATTACCACTTCCTACGTCGTGGACCTGTTTCCCTCCCTTCCTATAGCATTTTAGTATTGCAGGTATAGTAATCTAACTGTCACAAATGGTTTCTACACTCCGGACTGCTCGCCTTGACTACTTCCATCACTGCTTCCTACGTCATGGACCTGTTTCCCTTCCTTCCCATAGCATTTTAGAATTGCAGTTACACTAATCTAACTGCCACAAAGGGTTTCTACACTCCAGAATGCTCACCTTGACTACTTTCATTACCACTTCCTACATCGTGGACCTGTTTCCCTCCCTTCCTATAGCATTTTAGTATTGCAGGTATAGTAATCTAACTGTCACAAATGGTTTCTACACTCCGGACTGCTCGCCTTGACTACTTCCATCACCGCTTCCTACGTCATGGACCTGTTTCCCTTCCTTCCCATAGCATTTTAGAATTGCAGTTACACTAATCTAACTGCCACAAAGGGTTTCTACACTCCAGAATTCTCGCCTCGACTACTTCCATTACCACTTCCTACGTCGTGGACCTGTTTCCCTCCCTTCCTATAGCATTTTAGTATTGCAGGTATATTAATCTAACTGTCACAAAGGGTTTCTACACTCCGGACTGCTCGCCTTGACTACTTTCATCACCGCTTCCGACGTCGTGGACCTGTTTCCTTCCCTTCCTATTGGAATTTAAAATTGCAGTTATATTAATCTAACTGCCACAAAGGGTTTCTACACTCCGGACTGCTCGCCTTGACTACTTCCTTTACCGCTTCTTACGTCGTGGACCTGATTCCCTCCCTTCCTATAGCATTTTATTATGGCAGATACATTTATCTAACTGCCACAAAGGGTTCCCACACTCCGGAATGCTCGCCTTGACTACTTCCTTCACCACTTCCTGCAGTCAGGCAAGTGCAGTGGACCTGTTTCCCTCCCTTCCCATAGCATTTTTAGAATT